CAGCGCGCCGTAGTCGCCCTGCACCAGGCTCTGCGCCTCGCGGTAGCCCCCTGCGCCCTGCTGCATGCCGCCCGGCGGCTCGGCGTGCACGATGGAGGCGCTGGAGGTGAGCAGACTGTAGTGGTTAGACGCTGCGGTCGCCATGACTCTCGGAGCTGGACTGAGCGCTCCGGTTAAAGGAGCCGCGCATTTGACAGTTACTTTTTCGCCTCGGGCTCCTCTCCTCGCTTGCTCGCTCTCTCTCCTCTCTCTCTCTCCCCCAGTGGGCTGCTCCGACGCCCGCTCCGACGCCTTCTGTTGCTGCTCTTGCTATTACTGCTGCTGCCGCCGCCGTCGCCTCCCGCCCGCCCTCGCTCTCTTTCTCCTCCTCTCCCTCCTTGCTTCGCTCACTCTCAGACTAGCTCCGCGCTCCCCCCTCTCCCTGCTCTCTCCAGCTCTCTCCCGCTCTCTTGGCAGAACCGGCTCGCAGCGGCACGCGCCTGGGCCCCGCCCCCTCCGCCCCCTCCCATTGGCTCCGCGCCCTTTGATTTACGTGGATACCACTAGCAACCTCCCAGGCCGGCGCAACTGATTGGCGCAGAGCTGCCCCTCCTCCTCTCCCCGGGCGCGGAGTCCTCATAGGCCTCCTCCCGTGCCCCCTCGCCACCCTATTCAGATTCTCTTAGATCTCACCTCCCTTTCTCCCCCACCCCGGATCTCCTCCGCCCTTCTTGGATGGGCCCCGCCCCCCATCTGTCTCTCCAGCAGACTAGCCGGGCGAGGGGTTGGGGGGTGGGGGAGCAGAGCCGGCCCCGGGGCACTCTAGGTCACAGCTACTTGGAAGACTTGGGGGTGTCGGTCCACCTTTTCCCGATAGAACTGGGTCGGTGGGATGGTAAAGAAGGAGAAAGTAAGAAAAAAGCCGAGTTGCCCCTAGCCAGGGGGCTTCCGATTTTTATTCACCTTGTGACACACACTCACATAAGCGTCTCTTAAACCTGGAACCAGAAGCCAGACTTGTCCCCCTGTTGAAATCTACTTTCCCCCCACGGTTAGAATTTCAGAGCCCATGTACTTCTTGCTCCAGGGTGTGCGGACACTTTTGCCCCTAATAAGGAAGGTCCTCTTCTTACCCTCCACCCCGCCACTAGCGCAGGCTCTCTTCTTTTTAGGTTCCAGGCCCAACTGTATCCCAGCCCCTCCACAAGAGGCCCCCATGAGAGGCAGTCTAGCCTGCGCATCTGCTTGTGAGAGATTCCTGTTAAGGCGCGGAGTTGTCTGCTTTGACAGCGCAGCGGGCCGGACTGAAAGCAAAACAAAACTCTAAAAGTCTGCGAGATTCCTACACTAGGGCGTGCGCATAGTTTTTGGTTTAGAAAACTCGGAACCTGCGCGCAGACTCTTCCGTTGTGCGAGGCTATGGGAGAGCTAGCAAGTGGTGCTTAGCCTCTCAATGTCGTGGAGGCACCAAGGGCCGCCCCAAGAAGCCGTGACACCCGGGCTGCGTACGCGCTTGTTTCCTCTCTTGGGGCTCTTGGATGCAACTTTTCCGTTAGCTGCTTCGAAGGAGAGGAAGAGTGTGTGAAGGAAGATGGGCTGATGCTAGAGGAATCTTCCTAATCAGTAACTTCTGCGGACGCCAGCGGGTGGGATTGGTCTAACGCAGCTCTCCGGCAATTGCTGGTGAGGCTGCCTCCTTAGCCTTCACCTAAGAACACCAAGAGCAAGACTGCGGGACCGTGCACTGGCGGCGCCGCTCCATCCAGCGCGAGCGAGTCGCGCTGTCAGTTCCCTAGGCGCCGGGAGCAGGTGACTGCAGCCTTTCGGAACCTGGGAGTTGGCTAGAAGAGGCCCGGGCTGGGACTCAGGCTGAAGCACCCAGACCACCACGCAGGGCCAAGCGTACGGCGGCGCCTATACTGAGAGGCAAATCAAAAGTTGCTGCCGGGAAGGGCGTAAAAGACCCCAAGAAACTCGATCGCTTCCCCATCTCTCGCCCTTGGCCCTGCACATTGTAGCTCTTACTCTAGCGCTGCTGGCGGTCGTGGGTTTGTGAAGGAAGCCAAATCAACGCACGAGGGGGAGGGGGCGGCACTTTGGGGCCTCTGAGTATCTTACTCTAGACAGCAAAGTAGAGTGGGCCAGAGAATTCATCATGACTAACGAGGAGCGGAGCTCTTTGGGGAGTGGCTGAGCTGTTTATAAATCACCACACTGAGCACCCGCCGGGGCAAGGCGCTTTGGTTGAGAATTTCCACGTGCCCTGTGTTTATGAGCGTGTGTGTGGGAGAGAGCGAAATGGTTATGGGAGGGGCGAGCCCACAGGCCGCCAGCGGGACGGACCTGCATCTCCCACGCGCGCACCCGCGCGGCGAGGCGAGGACACACATCATGCGGCGCTTGATCCCAGCGCAAGCGCGGAGCCACTCCGGCTGTGCGCCTCGGGGCTGCTAAGAATCCCGTAACTTTGCCCAGCTCGAGAAAAGGAAAAGTCAAAGCCCCAGAGCGTGCAGACTCCGCGGCTGGCCCCCCGCAGCTCCTCAACTGAGAACGGAGAGACTAGGCCCCGAGCAGGACTGCCTCCTCCGGTTGGCGGCCCCTAGTACTCAGCGCTGGGCGCGCTACTCCCCTGCGGCTTTAGGAGCTAACGAGCCTCTAGCCAGCCGCGTCCCGTCCTGGCCCCCTGCGCCCCTCTTATCCCCACACCCGGCCCCCGCCTCTCCTCCTCCCCATTCCCTGCTTGGAGACTCAGAGCTCCTGCAGAACGAATAATCCAGCCGCCGGGAAGGGTCGCGTCCGGATACCCAGCAGCTCCCCTCCCTCTCCCTTCCGGGGAAGATATCTATTTTTCTCTGGATTTGATTTCACATTTCTCAAGGGACAAGGCCGTTTACAGCCGGAGGGGTGATACACTCGAGGGAAGAAAAAGATTTCCAGACGTATCTATGAGGGAACCGAGGCAGCCAGGCTTGGAGTCAGTTTTAAAGTTCTTCCCTCCCTTCGATCCTTCTGTTCCCTCCCTCCCCAACCCCGGACAAATGGGCGCTGGTGTGGGGTGGGCAAGAATAGGCTACACGTGTACATCAAAACTTCCTATTTGCAAGGGGACTTTGCTGGCGATTACTGCTCCGGGATCCATCCCATGTTGACGTCCCCGGTCTCCACTCAACCCTCCACCCCCGCCTCATTTCTCTGGCAGGCAACAGAGCCGAAACGATCCCAACTGGGTAAGCTGTGGTAGTTTTACAAGATTCATACACCCAGTAAATCCTCGGGAGTACACAAAGCAATTCCCTACCCCTGGGCCTCAGCCTCCTCATCCCACTCCCACCACCAGAGCCTGGCCAATCGCTGGGCAGGCTGGGCTGGGCGCACACTGTGGCTCTGGGTACCACCTCCCTCTAGAGCCACTCCTGCCTCCCCGCCAGTCGCCAGTGGCCCGGTTGGCGCGAACGCCGGGTCCTGAGTAGCCTGGGTTTCTTGTCTGCGTCCCGGCGCGGCGCCTCTCTGGGGCTCCGGGAACCTGGGCTCTCGGAGGTTTTAACTCCAGATGGAGGCTTCTCCCTTCTCCTTTCCTTCCTCCCACCGTTGCCTGTGCCTTTCTTTGCAGCTGACCTCACCAGGGCAGAATCCGCCAGTCTGCCTGCCTTTCTCCACCCGCATAAAAGCACGTTGAAGGTGTCTCGGGAAGACACCTCCAGGTTTTGATTCAGCTCATTCCCTTTCACTGTTCAAAGCAGCTGTTCAAATACAGAGGCTGCTTACGTTGACGTGGAGTGGATTTCAAACAACCCTAAAATGCTTTGAACTGACAAGGTGTCTCGATGTCTCCCTCACTCCAGCACAGATCCCCGAGATCACTCTCTAGGACAATGGCTGAGGAGGCGGTTCGTGCAGGCTTCGCAGCCTCAGGCGCGGACTGCAGGGTCCCCTGGGCCCCTTCCTCAAGAATAGGCTCCAGGAACCCCGAGAAGAGATCCTGGCAAGAGTGCCAGCCCATCTCCTTCCCTCAGGTCCCAAGGAAGGGCTCTACTCAGTGGGTATCCTGACTTTGGCTGGTTGAAGAAGTGGTGAGGACTCCCTCCTGCCCTGGTGTGCTTCAGGGAGAGGAAACAACTCAGCTAACCAGAGCTAAACCCAAAAGACTCATATTTATCCCCACATCACACTCCTCCAAAGAGTGAGGTGAGCCTGTCTCATTAGCCCTCAGCACCTTGACCCAAGGCCCCCAAAGTCTTCACCTGAGTAATAATAGTGGGATCAACCCATGCACTTTAACTTGAACTCTGACTTACTAACTTATTCATCTAGCAAACACACTCATACCATATGTAAAACATCATTTATTCAAATATTTCTCTATACCACAACTTGACAGGAAGACTACCGTAATCACTCCTCTCCACTGAGCTGAAAGGACGTGGTTATTGAAATAGAGGTAAGATGGTATTCATTTGATATTTATTTATTATCTATGTAGTCCCATGATAATAGAAATCGAGAAATGAAGGAAATTTTCTTAGGTAAAATTTTTTAGGCAGTTTAAACTTGGGTAAAATTGCCTCCTTGTGTTTTCTAATGTATCCACCTTGGAGGAGGATTACTTTAATCCCCCCGCCTCCTCCTTCTCTTCCTCTTCATCCTCCTCCTTCTGCCTTGTCCCAATCATTCATTCCTGTGCTTTCTTCTCCCCTGCTAGCCCCTATTAGCTGTCTGTTTTTTTTTTTTTTTGGTGGAGGTGTCCCCCATATTTGAATGGAACTTCTTTGCTGAGGGCCTACAGGATGTCAAAACTGAGGCTCCCATTTCAAAGCTGCAGCTTTAAACAGCCAATCCACACAAAGAGGCAGCTGGCCGCTTTAATGAAAACCTCCTTAAAGCTTCAAGAACTGCAGGCTTGGGATGCATTTATAAGAAGCATGGAAAATGCATTTCCAAGTTGCCAGTTCTTGTGAGAAACACAATAAACATTTACCTTAAAAAAGGACAGAAATTAACATCTTTAGCTATGTAGCAGCACATTGTCTCCTGAATTTAAAAAAATCCCATATAGATTTATATCTTACTATCTATTCATACATTTTACAAGTTTCTAAATGTGCATCTGTCTCCATGCCATAAGTGGTCTTGAAGAAGGAAAAGTTTTCTGAAAGTTGAAACTCCCC